CAGGACAGGCGTGCAGCGGCGCTATGAAGCAAGTTGCCGCCTTTGCTTGCGGCATAGCCTGCGAAGAGTGCGACAAGTGGCGAAGTTGCTAAGGCTGCGGTGGTCTCAGGCAAAGTGAGAGGCTCCTAAGCAACTGGAAAATACAACCAAAAGCCATGGAAAACCGAACTCGTCATCCAATGAAATTCTCAAATTCTTTGACGATATTTCCTCATAGTGCTCTTTGAGAAAAAAAGCAATCGGTACATTGAAGTGCCATACTCTCAATGATAGAGCCTTTAATCAGCTCAGAGCGTTCACTTTTTGCTCTTTTGTTGTAATAGAAACCTCAAGTTGCGCTTTTTTCGCTTTTTATTGTTATTTTGATTAAGATTTTCTTTACTGATTTATACGTCAAAAGGGACTTCGTAGATTTTCGCTAAGTCATAGGAAACTTCGTTTTCAGAAATGCTTCAAAACAACGCGTGCCGGGCCCTGCTATCACAGGAAGAATTGGGCATATTCCATTGAAACAGAAGCACAATGTATGCATTAATGTTGTTTTTTGAGGTGAACAATTCAACATATGGTGCACTTCAGCAAACTACTTGAGCATAAAATCTTAAAGGCAGTGGATCGGCAAAACTTAACAACTCAGGATTCTAACTTGGTAAGTCTTAGCGGCCAAATATGAAAACATTGCAATCCCGGTCGCATAGTATGCTTTCCATGCTGAGAAAATTGCTTTCAATCTTACACGCGCAAGCCATTCTTGCATGCGTTCGGAGGAGTTGGCAATTCTCTCATCACTGGAGGCTGCCCACCGCAACGCTAGAACTATTGGGTGCCGCAACAATCGAGCGTCGTCAGCCTGGCCCTATTCGTCCAATTTCACAGCGAAGGGCATTGGAAAACACCCATTTTCGCCGTTTTCAAGCCTTCTAAAGTGGATTTTCGGGATCAGCGCATTGTATAATCCAGGTAAGTGAAACTTTGACTAGGGTGGGATTTGCCGAGCCCCGCCTTTAACTGTTAACTCGAGGCTGGCAACGGGTGAATATTTCGCAACCTTCTGTCCTGTGAATATTTCGCAATTCTGTCCTGTGAATATTTCGCAATCCTCTGTGCTGATATGCTATGTCGAAACATCTTCGCGGACTTATTTTCATCTCAAGCCATTCTACAACACTGCAACTTTTTTCTCAATCTCTTGCAAATTTGTTTTACTGTTCCGTTTTATTTTGTTTATTTGTGTTTCCTTCCGCCCATCAACACCCGTGCCGATGCCCGTCGTTCCTAGTGGAGAAGTACCACCACGAATTCTACCTGCTGAAGTGCGCACGGCGATTTAGACCATGAAGACATCCGGCTCCAAGACCAGATCATCTTTCCGTCGACTTTCTGCGAGCCGGAGGGCAACGTCTAAACGAGATTCCCGCGTCGCACTAACATCTTCTTCAGAAGGAAAGGATTCCCGACCAGTAGAGAACGTCAAGAACCGTCATTCTCTTCAAGAAGATTGAACGGGATGATCTTCGGAACTACCGTCCAATATGCCTGCTGAGTGTGCTGTAAAACTTTTCACGAAGTTTATCCTCGCTCGCATATCTAGGACACTGGATGAAGCCCAACCCCAAGAACAAGCTGGATTTTGCAAAGGATTCAGCTGCATGGATCACATCCAGACCGTTTCGAGGGTCATAGAAGTCTGCCGGGAGTACCGCCTGCCTCTCGCCCTAACCTTCGTCGACTACGAGAAAGCCTTTGACAGCGCCGAAACCAACGCCATTCTGTCTGCGCTAGTCGATCAAGGAGTGGATCCAGCTTATGTGAGGATGTTAGCCGACTGCTACAAAGCCTGTACAACGACGATGCAGCTGTTCCATCGCCCCCTGACGTTCCAATTGGGAAGGGGGTTCGACAAGGCGATACAATCTCGCCGAAGCTGTTCACTGCGGCCTTGCAGTGGGTGATGAAGTCACTGGACTGCGACGAGAGAGGCATACGAGTTGATGGGAGATTCCTGTCGAACCTTCGTTTTGCGGGCGACATCGTTCTCTTCTCGAGCAGTATCACTGCAGCAGAGACGATGCTGAAGCTTCCTTGTAATACTAAATGCAATGGTAGTATTAGATACCTACCAGCTATGAAGTTGTAGTCAGGCAAAGAGATCTGCACTAGTGGGGACCTGGGCTCCGGTAGACTATGAGGTGTAGTTAATTCCCTAAGAATGGGACTGGTTGCTTAGGTCATTAGTGAAACAGTACTCAAGTTAGTAACAAACTACACTGCAAAAAGCAGTATCTCTGTTAAATCTACTATCCGGCATAAATGATATCAACGCAAATATAAATGAGCTACGTGCACAATCAAAGAAGAAGACGTAGTCGTAGTTGCAAGTCAGGACCGGCTGGAATTGAACGCAAACTGAACTGAGGGGGACGAACCAAATGCAGCAAACCAAAGTGACCAAAAATAGTTGAATCAGAAATCCATATCAACCTGAAGCATTTCATTTGAATTCTTTTTGCTAACAAGGGAATGGTCAGAAGCCGAAGTGGCCAAACCAAACAAGCTGTATATTATTCGATGCAGTATAAAACGCTGACTTCGAATCTGTCTTCTTTATCTGCTTCCCGCTTCTGTGGACGAAGCTACAAGCGGTTTTATTGTGAAAAAATCATACATAAAAATAGCGGAATTGAGCACATTGTTGCACTTTAATCTCGGCTTCTAGCTTCAAAAATTTTAAGTAAGCTAGCTACATGTTTTGGCCCAGCATGGAGGCGAACGAGGCTCTGTACGGTTAAATTTCCAACTTCACGCATAATTTCTAAGCAAGATAATGGTCTTCAATGGCTTATAACTTCTTCCAGAAAAGCGATAAGCAGATAAAGAAGACAGATTTAGCAGCGCTTCATGCTGCATCTAACGCTACGCAGCCTGTCTGGAATGGCCACTTCGATTTCTGACCATTTCCTTGTAAGTTCACTTTTGAATGATTTACTATCTCTACAGGCTAGATATTCACGAGGTAATTTTTGGAGCAACTTTTGTACTCGATTAAAAAAAATCATGGCTCAGCAAACTGAATTGTATACGCCCACCATTGGAATACATTGAATATAAAGAAAAACAGAGGTCCTTCCATGGCTGGGCCTGAACACCCAGTACTTACAAGGGAAGGATACTCGGTCGAAGTGGCCATTTGGAATGAGCTGTATATTAGGAAACCGTCCTCCGTGAGGCAAACTCAAAACTACTTTCGCTAGGTGCCGAGCGGTTTTGTGGGGGGAGTTACAAGGCCATTTTCCTCCGGCGCAGCCAGCGCACCCAGTAATGAGCGAGGCGCTAGAAAAAGGCACCAGTGTGGCAGTAGCGCAGTGGCAACGCAGCGGACTACGAAGCAGATGATCGAGGGTTCGAGTCCTGTTGCTGCTATTTTGTTTTGCAGTTCTGTAAAAAGTCTATTGGGTGACTGCAAACGAGAAATACTATTTCTAGGCAGTCGAAACAAGCTAGTTACTGCAAAAAAGCCACTTTCTGCAATAAACTATAATCTTCTAAAATATGTAAATCTGTGGAGGTTATGATGTCACAACAAGGGATTCAAGTGATATATTAACATGTATGGAATACAACCACAAAATGCTCAAAGTAGAAGAGCTTCTCGCAGCGCGCACATCGGATAAAATAAAACGATGACAATCAGCAGCTTCACAATTGTCCATCAAAGTCGGTGAAAAACAGTACTGAATAGGAGACTCGAATTCGCCGGGGTGGTTGTCAATGTATCCGGCTGCATCCATGGGTATGAAAGCAAATTTTTGAATCGCGGCGAGCAAAATTGTGTGTAAATGAGCGATAAGATCTTAAGGATGGAATCCCTATGATGCAAGGTAAAGTTCAGATCAAGAACCAATAAATGGGATGTGAATCGATTGCAATTTTGCAAGTGCGCGCGTTGCGAGAAGCTCTCCTGCTTTGTGCATTTTGTGGTTGTATTCCATACATGTTATTATATCATTTGAACCCATTGTTGTGACATCATTACCTCCACAGATTTACATATTGTAAAAGATTATGGCTTATTGTAGAAATAGTGACTTTTTTGCAGTAAATAGCTTGTTTGAACTGCCAAATAGTATTTCTCGTTTGCTGTCACCCAGTAGACTTTTTACAGAACTGCAAAACAAAATAGCAGCAACAGGACTCGAACCCTCGATCATCTGCTTCGTAGTCCGCTGCGTTGCCACTGCGCCAGTGCCACACTGCTGCGTTATTCTAGCGCCTCGCTCATTACTGGGTGCGCTGGCTGCGCCGGAGGAAAATGGCCTTGTAACTCCCCCCACAAAACCGCTCGGCAGCTAGCGAAAGTAGTTTTGAGTTTGCCTTACGGAGGACGGTTTCCTAATATACAGCTCATTCCAAATGGCCACTTCGACCGAGTATCCTTCCCTTGTTAGAAGGTTTCAATCTGGTTTCACCCCTGAAAATCCTAAAAGCTAGTATGAGGTCATGAATATGTCGACGATAAGAGAGGCTCTTCAGATTTAGTCTTTTCAAACGTTCTTCATAGCTAGGAAGCAACTGTGGATAACTAGAATTAGGAAAACAACGATAAAACAGAAGTCTTGTGAACACCTTTCAAACACTTTCCAAACTTCGTTTGTGCTTCCTCAAGGAGGGGCACCACACCTGGCTCGCATATTCTAGCACAGGGATCACTAAGGCTTTATAAAGCCTCAATAGAACCTTTACGTCTTTCACCTTAGTATTGCGAAATATCGTGTACATAATAGAAAAAGCTCGTGTATGTCAGAAATTTGTGATTCAAATTTCAGTCCACTATCTACCAGAACCCCCAAGTCTTTCATAGATGTCTTGTTGACTAAAGAAACCCCTCGATGCTCATAGTAGACTTCTTGATTACGTCCTATATGAAGAACGGAGCTTTTGCAAACATTGATATAGATGTCCCATTTAGTACACCAATCAATCATAACATCGATAGCCGACAGATGTTTGAAAAACGTCCACGGCCAGCAGGACGCTTAAACTCCAAGGACTTCAACATTTTCATCATCCGAGAAGAAACCGAACTGTTGCGAGGTAAACAAGGAGCACTCGAATGTCTGGACATCGTCCCATTCTTGAACCCAGACGTGGAGACAGCGGACGATAACTTACCCTATGAGACCGAAGACGTCGATATCCACACGAAGCTTGACGACATCGAAAAACTTCTGCAAAGACTCATCGAAGACACAAATACCTCCAAGCGTTCTTCGGACATCGAATCTATTTTGCGCAAGCTACACAGAATCGAATCCATGCTCCTTGAAGAAAAAGCAAAACGAATCGAAGAAACCGCTATGCAGCATCTACATCAGATAACTGCGTTGATAGATGAAAAGTCTCGACAGTTGGAAGAGAAGATCACTGACAGTAACGAACTCATAGTAAATTCGATGATCAACCTTATGACTCAGATATCCGCCATACTGCGCACGGACCAACCGTCAGAATACCAGCGTTCCAGCACTCCTTCTGAAACTTCTCATAAGCCGCGAAAGGACCGGTCTCGCCCACCAGCAAAGCGTCCTCCTAGAGATCCGGATTATGCTCTACTCCAACGTCGTCTCAATCACTTGGCGTACTGCGAGAAGCGTCAATCTGGACAGGAGGCCGCCGAGCCATCGCAGCACCACAGATGTATTTTCTGCTACGGCCCTCATACTGAAGATGCATGTACTGAGCATAGATCCGTCGAAGAAAGAAGAACCCTAGCGCGAGACCGCAACCTCTGCCTCTTCTGCTTGGGCAAGACTTGCCCAAGACCTTGTCCCAACAGAACGCCCTGCAAGTACTGCAAGTCAAATTCTCATCACTATAGCTTGTGCTCACCACCGGAGGAACGAAGCTACCTCGAAGACCAACTCGCCCACTACCAGCATGGACGGCCCCCCGGGAGTGTGCTGAGGCTGGACTTGACCCCCGGCTTCGCACCCCTGTAACCTACCGCGCCCCAAAACCCAAGTATTTAGGCCCCGGACGAAGGAGCATCGCACAATGATCGATCACGGTTCGGATTCCCTCAATCGGGACTTACTCGTCGGCCGTTTTGTCATAGTTTTCTTTCGTCTTGCATACCTCCGATGTAGTACCTGGCACACATATCCTTATTTTCATTCGTTTACATCTCATACTTGCCTCGGATATTCCGGTTCATTTTGCGCACCCATTTTCTATCTCTCTATTACTCAGTTGCGTTCCTACATTATTTGTTAGGTTTATCTGTTTTTAATGCTATTTTGCCTAATTTTTCTCAATGTACTCAGGTTATCATACCTCATACTTGCCTTGTATTGTTTATCCTTTTACTGGTGCTAACTAAGATACTCAATGTTCGAATAGGGTTAGCTTTTCGCCTCCTACTTTTGCCTCGTATGTTTTGTCGTTGATTAATGGTTAATAAAGGGTTTAATTATCCAAGTTTGAGGTGTGTTTCAACGGCGGTTCTATCCGCGTCTACCTCGAGCCTGTTTGGTATTCCTAGTGCTGTATTATTCGTTCAGTGTTCACATCCCAGCCTCATCTGCTGAAGACCCTGATGACATACGAAACTCCCAGTGATTCGAAGACTCGCCTTCAACGAAGCAGGTGAAAGGTGGGATTTGACTGACCCTTTCACTTCCTTTTTCTTTCCTCTTCTCGAGTTTTCGGTCATTTTTTTAAGTACGGGGTCCCCCTCCTTTTTTTCTCCTCGGTATCCCGGGACCCAACTTAAAAATTTTCTGGTGCATCGACCACTTACGAAGCAGGCCGAGCGGAATTACGAAATCGATCGAAGTCAACGAAGACGTCAAGGACTCGTAAACGAAAACAGGATGGGGCCATCGCTGCCGCACAAAACAAGGATCACGAAGTTGGGGAACACACTGGAAGAGCTGATAGAAAGCTCTCAACATATGATAGCTTTCGAAATCCCCATCAGGAGAACGAAGAAGAGTCAATGAATCTTCTACGAACAAGGATAAGAGCTATACAACACCGCGGAGCCAACATCGCTACAACCAAAACAACACTACAGTCAGCAGTCTCTAGTTACCAGGAAGCTTTCAACTCACTGGACAACAACTCCCAGCAAGAATAGAGAACATCCCAAAAGACGTACGTCGAACGCGCTTGAAACTTAACATCGTCGGCACTCTCCCTTCTTAACAAATTAAACGAAAAGGAGACAGAACTTTCCTCCAGACTAGATAATTTCGCCCAAGCGGCAAGAAGAAGAGAGAGACAACTCGAAGCCGTCAAAACACCTCAGGCATCCAACGAATCGTCAGGATGGACAACCCGCGACCGACCACCCAGCTGCAATCAATGCTGCCCAGGTTACAACTCCAAGTTTAGCGGAAGACGCCAGGAATGGGGGTCTTTTTGGGCCATATTCCAAGTCACCGTGGACGAACAGCCAATCCCCACGATGATCAACTTCAACTATCCTCTCCAGTCACTCGTAGGAGAGGCTAAGCAGACGGCAGCGCAGTTTCAGGTGGTAGAAGCAAACTATCAACTCGTCATCGAAGCACTCAAAAAGAAGTATGGCGAAGACGCATCCATCATCGAAGATTTATTGATGCAGCTCGAAGTCACCAAGGCGGAGGGAATGCCCCTTAAGCTGCAGGCTAACCTACTAGAACGAATTACAGCCATCTTAACGCAGTTAGCCGCGAAAGGCCAGGATGTTAATCAAAGGCTAGGCTTAATCTAGTCTTACGAAAATTCAGTAACGAAGTGCAAGCAAAGGCACTCGAAAGGCGAGAGAGGCTCACAGAATCTCAGCAATGGACATGGTCAGTTCTCCAAAAAGACTTACAAGACATTATCATCACTAAAGAAAGGATAGAAAGAAGTAAAGAGCTGATCATCACGAAGCCTCACACGCCACTCTCTCCTCTAAGGGGAGAAAGTCAGGAGAAACGCCCGATACCAGCCTGCATCTACTGTAAACGAATAACCATCGATCTCGGGAATGCAGGACAGTTCCGATATCGGAGCGGGCAGCGTTCTTGGCGAGGAATCAGCTGTGCTTGAATTGTGGGAAGCCAAACCACTTAGCACAGAACTGTAGGAGTCAAGGATGCTTCAGATGTGGACTCAAGCACCATTCATTTACATGTCGAAGACTATTATCACCGCCGAACCACGAACAATCTACAGGGACGACAACGAATCCCCAACAAATCAATCAGCCAGCTCGAATAGTTCCCACATCCAATTGCACGAATGCAGCAAAGAGGAACAACACAAGCACACCTAGGCAATCCAGACAAAACCTGGTCACTATAGAAGAAGAAGTGAACCAGAAAGGATGAGCGATTCCCAAGATGAAAGCAGAGTCAACACAGGATCAGAGCTATCATTCATAGATAGCAAACTAGTAGACGAACTCCAACTGAAGGTAGAAGGGACTTCCACTCTATGTCTCAAGACGTTTGGAACGAAGCTGGCGAAAGAAGAAGAGTACCGTATAGTACACGTAGATTTAGTGGACAGAACAGGCACTACACATCCATGCAGACTATATGACTGTCCAATCTTGACATCCAAAACGGCGGAACCACAGCTCTCAGACGAAGACTTGAGCTACATCAAAGAACATGGTCTGCATCTATCAATGAAGACCAACGAAGACATCCAACCACGCGTTCTTCTAGGATGCTACTACCTATGGGAACTGATGGATAACGAAAAGTACAACTTGCCCTCGGACATGCATCTCATAGGGACGAAGTTTGGATTCATGCTCTCAGGGAAAAAGAAGAAACTCAATGAAAGCAGTCTACCATACTGCAAACCAGCAAGGAAAAAGAATTAGACATATATGATAACTACTGGGCCGGCAAAGTCCCATCTCACCTCCCTGCGGTGCCGGCTGGCAACGGGGATCAACCCCGGCAAACGACGAGGGCACTATCCCGTCAGGCGGAGCGACGCGCCGGGGACTGTACGAATCAGTCGTGTCACATGCATCGGACTATTAAGGATTTTTGTCAAGCTGCTAGGGCGTCCTCCGGAGGCGACGCGCGTCATTGCCCGCATGGCGCGAATAGTGAGCTAGGGCTACCTGATCCCGGACGAGGCAGGCCAAAGAAGCGAGTCCAGGAAATCCGACTAGCGACGATTAATATAGGAACGCTGACGAGCCGCAGTCGGGAGCTATGCGATAGGCTGAATGAGCGACACATCGACATTGCATGTGTACAGGAAACGAAATGGAAAGGGAGGCAGGCTAAGGACATCGGAGACGGATATCGCTTATACTACACGGGAGATAGCAGCCGCCAGAACGGAGTCGCGATCATCGTCAGAGGTAGATACCGCGAATTAGTGAACGAAGTGACGCGCATTTCAGATAGATTGATGGCGATGAAGATCGAAGCAGATGATGCCACGTTTCGAATAGTCTCGTGTTATGCCCCGCAATCCGCATGTACCGAAGCCGAGAAGGATGTGTTTTGGAGGGACTTCGACATCCTGCTAAGGACATTTGACGCTGCAGACTACATCTTCGTAGGAGGCGATCTCAATGGGCACGTGGCCACGAACACTATGGATTCAAGCGATACCATGGTGGAAACGGATACGGTCAGAAGAATGAAGATGGAGAACGCATCTTGGAAGCAGCAGAAGCACACGACTTGGCGATAGCGAATACATTTTTCAAGAAGCGGGAATCACATTTGATCACGTACGCGAGTGGAGACAGCTCAACTCAGATCGACTACTGGGTGCTGCGCCGATGCCACTTGCCGATGGTGATGAACGCAAAGGTTATACCCACGGCGACATATGCATTTGCGCCACAACACCGGTTGCTCGTATTGGATCTTCGACTGAACATCCACTTACGTTCAGAGCCAGAAGGACGACCACAAAGAGGATCAAATGGTGCTCAAATCAAGCTTCCCGAACATCGCCAGCAAGTCAGAGATGCTTTTAACGATTTGAGGGTGTCGACGGAAGATAAGGAGTCGATTGAAGAGCAATGGAATCGGATTACTTCGCAGATACGATCGAGGGCCGAGACAATTTTGGGAACCACCAAGCCAGGACGCCGGTTTGTAGACAAGCAGATCTGGTGGTGGTCTGAGTCAGTCCAGCAAGTGATCAAGGAGAAGAAAGAAGCTTTCAAAGCCTGGCAACGCTTACACTCAAATGAGGACCTCCGTCGATATCGAGAACAGAACTCGAAGGCGAAGCACGCGGTAGCCGAAGCAAAGGAAGCACACTACAAGAGATTGTACGACGAGCTGGAAGGACCTGCTGGAGCTAACAAGGTCTACCGCCTGGCCGCTGCACGACATCGAGCGAAGCAGGACATCGACCACCTCATGCACATTAAGGACGCAGAGGGCAACCTCCTGACGAGGCCGAGGGCAATACTCAAGCGGTGGAGTGAATACTACAAAGGGCTATTTAATGAGGAGTTCCCGCACCCGTTAGTACCGCAAGGAGCCCCCACATTTGGACCGGTATCTCGGATCGAGGTGGCAGAAGTTGTGCAGGCACTGAGGAAGATGTCTAGCGGAAAAGCTCCGGGACCCGACGACATACCTGCTGAAGTGTGGAAGATGATGGGGCAGCGTGGAGCGGCATATCTCACATCGCCCTTTAACCGCATTATCGTAGACGGACAGTTGCCGCGAATCTGGACTACGAGTGTTACAGTCCCTATCTGGAAGGAAAAGGGCGACGTCAGCGACTGTTCAACATATCGACCAATACGCTTGCTATGCCACACGATGAAGATCTTCGAACGAGTCATCGACGCACGCATTCGAAGTATAGTGGAGGTCACCCCGAACCCATGCGGCTTTGTAAAAGGATCTGGCACCATCAACGCCATCCACGCGGTACGATTGCTAATGGAAAGGCATTTGGAGAAACGGATTCCGATTCATTTCGCATTCCTGGATTTAGAAAAGGCATTTGATCGGATACCACACGGGCTGATCTGGTATGCACTGAGACAACAGACAACACGTCGTCCCAGAAGAGTACGTTCGCTGGATCAAATTCCTCTATACGAACACGACGGGCGCCATACGCTGTGCAGTGGGAACGTCAACGCCATTCCTAATCCAAGTCGGAGTACACCAAGGATCGGCTCTATCACCGCTTCTCTTTATACTGTGCATGGACACGGTGACCAAGGACATCCAGCTGCCGCATCCGTGGGCGCTCCTTTACGCAGACGACGTCGAGCTAGCAAGCGGATCGAGACAAGAGCTTGAAGAGGCGACTGTGAGATGGAAGACACGATTAGCGGAATATGGCATACGACTGAACCTAGCAAAGACCGAGTACCTGGAATGTGGAGAGCAGACCGATGGCACAATTAGCATCGATGGGCAGCCGCTGAAGAAGGTCGCGATATTCAAATACCTGGGCTCCCGAGTGACGTCGGATTGCGACACGATCACTGATACTCGTGCTAGGACGAACGCGGCGTGGCTAAAATGGCGGCAAGTAACAGGAGTACTCTGCGACCGACGAATTCCGTTGTATCTCAAGTCGAAAGTGTACCGGACTGTGGTGAGGCCAGTCGCACTGTATGGAGCCGAATGTTGGCCAGCAACCAGAAAACATGAGCAGATCCTGAGCACGATGAAGACGCGAATGATAAGATGGATACTTGGCCTAAAGAGAAGAAACTGCGTCACGAACGATGATGTACGACACATTTTCGGAGTTGCACCTATCGCGGATAAGATGCGAGGTGCCAGATTACGATGGTATGGTCACGTTTTACGAAGTGAAGATAATACAGTAGCAAAAACAGCACTTCGTCTAGATCCACAGGGGAAGAGACCACGTGGCCGTCCGAAGCAACGCTGGTTGGACACCATTCAAAACGACCTGCACATTGCACAGCTCAAACCACGAGAAGCAGCTGATCGAGTCAAATGGAAGCAAAAATGCACCACCGCCGACCCTGCACCCGCGGGACAATGCAAAGATAACGAAAAAGAAGAAGAAGAAGAAGATAACTACTGGAAGATCGAATCTTCAGGGATCGAAGAATACACAGGAACTGAGAAAGAAGACAAGAAGATTCAAGAAAACCGAATTCTGAAGGTCCAAAGAAACAATTGTAAGAAAACCAGATGGCTATTATGTACGGCTACCATGGAAGGAGCCACACGAATACTTACCAGACAACAGATCCATCGCATTAGCCAGACTGAAGTCGCTGCTCAAACAGTACGAACACCGTAAAGAATTCCTACTGGTGTTCGATAACATCTTCAAAAATCAACTCGAGAAAGGGATTATCGAAATAGTCGAAGAAGATGCCGGCAAACCTCGACCTAAAGGCAGAATCATCCACTATCTGGCACACCAACCAGTGGTCAACCCAGAAAAACGAACAACCCCGAAGCGTATCGTTTTCGACGCATCAGCTCATTATGCTGGGAAGGCGTCACTCAGTGATGTCCTCCACCAAGGACCCTTGACGATACCGAACATCTGCGGAATGCTCATGAGATTCCGAATGGGGAAGATCGCCATGACCGCGGATATAGAAAAGGCCTTCTTACAAGTGAGGTTACGCGAACAAGACCGAGACGCAACAAGATTCTTATGGCTCAAGAACCTCAACGAACCGTTAAACGAAGACAACATGGTCACTTTCCGCTTCACACGAGTGACATTCGGTCTTATTTCGTCACCCTTTCTGTTGGGAGCAACCATCAACTTCCACTT